TTCCAATTTTATGTTGGATTAACTATTCTATTAAGACAACCTATAACATGCTAACTCGGACTTTCACACTAATATTGTGTGGCTGGCATCGGACGAACAAAAAAAAGAAAAAACACAATAAAAGATATAGTTATTAGTATTCTTAACACTGCACCCACTATATGCATACTCCCTTCTAATAAACCGCTTTCCTTGTACCAACATTGACTTCCCTTCCTTCATGTGAGCTTACTCCAACTCGTTAAACATCACGACTCATTGTTCTTTATTGCTACATTTTCTTATATGGAGCCTCTGACTTCATTTCACTCTAACGAGAGATAATATGGATGTAATCTAATTTATTATACCTGTCTGTTCTACTACAAAATGTTAAGCAACGTTTGGAGTTCGTATTCAAGTGCCTTGCTGTTTCGCTTTTTTCTTTCTTCAGAATCTTGCTCTGAGGGCACAGTTATGGAACTTCTGGCGTCTGGAACAAACTTGACGTACGCGCCTGCCCAAGGTCATACGTTACAGCATGTGCTCTACGAGTCTACCTTATAACAGTTATGAACTTAATAAGTTGGGAAGCACACTGTGAGCCAACACATGTTGCAATTTGTAGATCATGCCTGTAAAACGACCTGTACCTGCTCATGAAGAAATATATTATTGTTATTACTGAAAGATCGCAAAAAACCTTTGGCAACTGAGTGGCAAGTGACAGGTATTAGAAAATCTAACGTTCATGAAGATGGCGTGCATACTATCACGACAAAAGTCAGCTTCAATGGTTCATTCTGCTATACTGAAGGAGGAAGTTTCAAACCTGTCAACACCGCTTAACGTAATGTTCTTGCACTTGATAAGCCGAGGCAAACTGTCGGAAAATTGGAAGCCGGCTCAAATAACACCAATTTTTAAAGGAGGTCGACGCAGAGAACCTCCAAGCTGCCGACCGGTGGCTATTCTCTCTATACCTTTAAAAATCATAAAGTCTCCGAAATGCGGTGGTATACATGACTATTTACTATCCTTAAACTTCTCCTCACCCCAGTAGCATGGTTTCAGGAAGGGTCACTCATGTATAGCCAACCTATTGACTGCGGTAGACAGGTGTACAAGCATCCTAGATCGCTAGGGGAAGGTTGACGTCAATTACCTTGATTTCTCAATGGCTTTTGGTAGGGTCAACCATACATGTCCTATCAATAAGTTCACCTGTATCTGACTGGCTCACTTTATAACTAACACATCGACATTTTAAGGTCAAGGCAACTTCACTTTTCTCGGGATATGGAATTTCGTAGTGGGGTCCCTCACGGCTTGGTACTAGAACCTCTTCTCCCCTTGATTTATATAAACGATCTTTCTCAACAGGTATCATCAAACCCATTACTTTTGGCCGATGATGTGAAACTTTGGAGAGAGATGCGAGCCAAGGGCATATACAGGCACTTCTGGAGGATCTGACTCGACTTCAAAGTTGGGCAGATGTTGATGGACTTGCCTTTAACACATCAAAGTGTAAAGTAGTCCATCTGCGACATGTTTCAGACTACAGTTACAACTTAAGAAACTCCGCTCTAGAAGTATCCCGATCCGAAAAAGATTTGGGAGTGTTGGCGCCCTACGATTTGAAGTCATACGCTAACTGTAACAAAAATGCCTTTCGAGCAAACCTCGCATTGGTAACATTGAAGCGCATTTTCGGCCAGTTTGACTGAAGAACTTTCCACATAATCTTCAACAGTTTTATCCGTCCTTATTTAGAGTACGGGAACATAGTATTCCCTCCTACACTCCAGTTCAAGGACTCAAATTTAAACCTTACGATGAGCGCCTCCAATCACTCGACCTTTACCCATTAGAGTATAGGCGTCTTAGAGGTGACCTTCTAATGGCTTACAGTATCCTTAACACACCTGGACATCCTCTTAAACACCTACTTAAGCTTAGTCCCAACACTAACCTAAGGGGTAACACCCAAAAACTGGAGATACAACATAGTAGAACGGACTGCAGACACAAATTCTACTCCTTAAGAGTTGTCAAATGCTGGAACTCGCTGCCAGCTGAGCTAGTCCAAGCAACTTTGCAGAAGTCTTTTAAGAGTAAACTTGACCTATTGTTAATGACTAAGGATAACATCTTATTATCATTTACCAGTTTCTTTTTCCCCCTCTGTTATCGTTAATATACCTAGATTTCTGCCTGGAGGTATTGGTGATCCACTGCTACTAGAGATGGAAGCCCGTTAAGCGAAAGCTTCTTCTATTCCGTCCGCAACCATTTGAACCATTTGAACCATTTGAACTTTCGATAATGGCGAATGGAATAGTATTCCTAATAAATAGAGCTACTCCCCCTCCTTTACGCTTCTGGATTCCCTTGGCTCTTACTAACGTGAAACCCTCGAAATCAAGTTCTATACTATCTATGGGCTGCGTCAGCCAAGTTTCTGTGACTGCGATAATGTCTGGCTTTGTGGAGTCAATCTGTACACCTGGTTCCGATAGCCTAATGAGGAAGCTTCTGGCATTAGTGTAACAGGTCCAAAGCCTAGTTAAATGGCTTCGTGCTTCACCCAGAGTGACTTCGGCATCATTCTCTGTCGAAGCCCCACAACGCGAAAATTTACAAGTTTCAAGTCATTTCGCCAGCGTCTAACCTAACTTGTAGTTTTTTTCGGCTTCCCGTCTTTTTACACGTCTGCCAACGGCAAATCCTTACGGATAAAAACTCCTGAGCCCTATAATTTATGTCCATTCGGAGATTTAAATACTACTTTAGGAAGTCTGGATTGATTAGACTTCGAGTTTGCTTGACTACCTAGTCTATACACCTTTAGCATGGTTACTCCGGAGATATTTTGAGGCATAAGTCGATTAAGTAGCTGTTTTATCAGCCCAATGTCATGCTCCAAACGAGTTTTTGGTCCAGAGCTTTCACTCTCCTGACCTGTCACTGTGATCAGTCTTCAGTTTCTCGACTACTTTTATGGAGGCAGGGTTCCCTTTTATATCGTTATGTAGTTTCTTGTTTACAACCTGTACACATTCGCCAACGTTCTTTGAAGTAGCGACCACAGTCGCATCAAACATACTGTGGGATTCCGTAGGATTGTCGACGACTTGAAAACTCAGGTTGTTTCCGCTAAAAAACCGATCGAGCCTTGCGAGTGCGGCTTCTAGGCGTTTCCTGCTGGATACCATTTAGGAGACGGGGGACAGAAGAAACTCCTCATCCTGAGTTTTTAGTTAAGACAGACCTCTTTAGAGACTGTCTTTCCTCCTTTGGTCGATGTGAGTCAGCTGTTTTCGAACTCACCTGGGTTTGCTTCACACCAATTTGCGTGTCGACAGAGCGAGTGTTGTCCGGTGTGTCCCGACTACGCTTGCGAAAACAATTTTCTACAGCGTTTACCATTGAGAAGGCCTCGGTTAGCAAGCTGTTTGCATCAGAACAACACTGCTGACAAAGCTATATGCAACCGTTTGTGCTGAACCGTTTGAAAGCCGCAGGCGTTAAGTTCGTGCAAACTTTGTGGTGCCGGCCTTTACACTTATCGCACTGCATGCCGCTTTCAAAGTGATATCGACAGCCCGGACGTTGGCAACTACTTCTTTTGCACTGTCCAGTCATCAAACATATTAATATGTTAATATCACCTTCTACAGTTAGATATATAAACTACGAAATCATTATATTGCAGGAAACAAATCATAATCATGCGAAAGAGGTACAATTATGTGGAGATTTTACTAGAGAGTAAGCTAAGATTGCTTTATAAAGCTAATTAGCTTAGATGTAGTATATTACGTCCATATGTACAAACATATCTCACGAAAAAATACTTTAGATTTGGGTCATCATTGTTCTTTTTGAATAATAACATAACGTACCTAGTATGCGTATACTACAAAAATAATGATTAACCACAGAAGTCATATTACCTTATGTACTTCTTTCAGACAGGTCTCAAAATTGTCCCAACTGGTAAATCTCCGAGATAACATAATATCATTGAAGATTCGTCCAATATCATGCATCATCACGATGGCACCATCTTCGTTACTTGAAGGATGGACGTTATCAGACATGGTGTGGCCCAACTCAATTCAAATCTAAAAATATCTTGATTTGACCGCTTCTGAAAAACTTCACGAATTGTCGATGTGACACACCAATCATGTTGAAACAGTTTGACCTTCAAGTGCTCGCAACCTCCGTCAGTGGACGATACCCCTGAAGTGTTGCCGTGTTGTTCATTATGCTAGTGGACTAACAGAAGAGGCAAATAATGTTTTGGAAAAAGATAAAATCTGATTAGTCGTTGATTTGTTAATCCCAGTATAGTTTGCTTAGTCGTGAGGTCTCGATGCAATAATTGTAGTAAAGTATGTTAATACTGCTATGTGAATTTTTATTGAGAATGGTTTTAATATGCAATGCCATTAATTCTGACAGTCCCATTTGACAATCACTAGATGAACATGAATGGCTTCAGGAGCGTCAAGCTCTATGTTGGGTGTTCTAGAACACCTATAATTACAATTGTAGGTGGGGTGGTGTTGTATAGTATCTTAAGCTGGAATTCCAGCTAGTAGATCGATAAGTTTTGGATGTCAGTTTGAAAATTAGACAGTTAATAAATGTTAACACAATAGTTGATCTTAGTAAGTTGTAACCAAGGCTTATATGACTACCAACTAATATTCACGGTACTAGTATGGACTCGGTCAGTCAGTTGCCACACCAGCAAGATGAACACTGGATTAATAGAAGCAATTAACTCAATGGTGTAACAAATAAAGGAAAGGTCTTATGTAAGGATATAGTACGGAGGGAAAGAATTAGTTCGTAGAAAGACAGATATGAAGCGACTTTACTCATAGTTTGAGGGAAGACAGGGAGTGTATACACCTACTCCATTGTGACTGATTCTGAGCCATGTCACCAAGAGTCTCCAACCATTAGTTACGATAGTCACGCGTACCCCAACGAAGTAGTCTGCATCTACCAATATGGCTCAAACCAGAAGTTAGTGACTTCAAGGACTGACGACACGTTTTTGTTTGGCCGCCCCTAACTTTCTCCCAACCATCCCCAACATCAGTTAGCATTGCACGTCATGGTAATCGGTGTTCAGGCATACGTAATGCGTGGCCCAACCTCATCATTCCCTAATACCTTGCGTCTAACCTCACTATTACCCGGTGATCCCAGCAGATGTGAACAACATTTCCAAGATACCTGTGGTCAAATATTAGTAACACTAGTACGGACTGTTTTCAGTGCTAGAGTAAATATGACAATGATACTTTTAGCTTCCAGGAGATTTCAGTCAGTCATCTGCGAACTCCATGAGATTTGCCCAACTGCTGAAACTAGTGACTGCCAGTTAGACTGAAAAGTGTAACTTGTCTGGTAAATCAGTGGCTGATATATGTGCCGGAACAGTCTATGTTGTACAATGAAAGCCACGACGAGTTAGGACATTATTTGTTGAGCCTTGGAATAAATTTATTTATCGGTGGTTTTTTAAATACAGTCACCCATGCTATCCAGGTTCAGAGTCGTTGTAGTCCATGATCGATTTAAACCTAGCCCGAATGTGCGGCGATTAAACATATCACTCATGAAGGAGTGTACTTTGTCAATGAACCGGTCAGTTGATACTAATTCTTCCTTTGAGGAAGCATGATTTTAGTCTATATATATTTAGTTCCATATCATTCCTCCTTATATCACGCGTAATTCTATGTTGACCTACCAACTATCCATCATGGAGAGGGAAGGATATCATGAAACATCTCAGTTTTAGGGAGATTTTGGGACCTCTTCATCTCCAGTAGCTCAGACAGTTCATATCTAGTTGTTGTAAGACTAAGAATGCATACAAGCATTGGTGGAATTAGAGAAACAATAGATCCAAGATTCCCAGAGAAGTCCAAAAACGTTGTTCTTCTGTATCAAGAGATGAACTTAACAAATAAATTGAATCCCACCGCAGAAAAATTCACTGGTAATGAGGAGTGAATGCATTGATATGTCGATAATAAATGTACAGTTTTTAAAAGTAATTCCACAACTAGTGACTTTATAATTTCCGCTTTCATGAGACTCACAATATTTATTTGTTTATTTATTTATTTATTTTTGCAACCTCAAGTGGCGTCCGTCAAGGCTGTCCACTTTCTCCTTTTTTGTTTAACTTTATCATAGACATCCTGATGGAAATAACGCTCTCATCGACTGACTTCTCGGGTATTGATCTCCTACCAGGATGTCCACTTATTGACTTAGAATACGCAGATGACATAGTCCTGTTTGGTGAAGACGCTGATGAAATGCAGAGTCTTTTGTTAGCACTGAGCAACAATGCCAGAATGTTTGGGATGCGCTTTTCTCCCTCTAAATGCAAGTTGTTGCTTCAGGACTGGTCTGCATCAACACCTGAACTAAGGATAGGGGGTGAAGTAGTCGAACGCGTTGACAACTTCACTTATCTTGGAAGTCTGATCAGCCCTAATGGGTTGGTGTCTGACGAAATCTCAGCACGGATTCGAAAAGCTCGCTTGGCCTTTGCCAACTTACGTCATCTATGGCGAAGGCGAGATATCCGTCTATCAATTAAGGGACGAGTATACTGCGCGGCAGTTCGTTCCGTCCTTCTATACGGCTGCGAAACATGGCCTTTAAGAGTGGAAGATATTCGTTAGACGCAGGGTACTGGGGAATGATGGTAAATCAGTTGATGAGGTTATGAATCTTCATCGACTGAGATGATTGGGCCACGTGTTGCGTATGCCTGAACACCGATTACCACGACGCGCAATGCTGACTAGTGCAGGGGATAATTGGAAGAAAGTTAGGGGCGGCCAAACCAAAACGTGGCATCAGTGCTTGAAGTCACTAACTTCTGGTCTGAGCCATGTTGGTAGATGTAGACTGCCTGGTTGGGGTCCGCGTGACTATCGTAACTAATGGTTGGAGACTCTTGGTGACATGGCTCAGAATCGATCACAATGGCGTCGGTGTATACACTCTCTGTCTTCCTTAAATTAAGAGATTAAAATCGCTTCATATCTGTCTAGGAACTAATTCTTTCTTCCTTTACTATCTCCTTATACACAATCTTTCTTCTATATATTACCACCACTGAATTAACTACTCCTATGAATCCGGTGTTCATCTTGTTGTGCTAATGCGGTATGGCAACTTGGACCGATGCATATACGTGCCTGGTCCTACGTTGCAGCTGACTGACTGACTGACTTATTTATTTATTTGAACACATAAATATTGGTACAAGAGGGCACCGAATATATATGCGCCACACAAAACAATGAGAACTTAAAGAGAAAAAAAAAGTAATGAACGTAGGGAGTTATAAAAAAAGAGAGAGAACAATAATAGGGGAAAAGGAAGGTACAATCGGAAGAAATCTGTAAGTTAAGGAAGAAGCAACCACTTTTTATGAAGAAAGTAAAAGAAGGTTACAGCAGGATCGCCACTGGCTTCTATTCTGAGCCATATCTAATAACGTCTCTAGCAACTGTGTTACTCCATCACTCGAACCCCAGTCATGGAGTAGAGAATGACCAACAAAAGCCAGCCATTTGCAGCTTTCTTTCATACCACGACACCATGTTATATACTGACCACCTCTCCGCTTTTTCCAACCAGTCCCAGAGTCGGCAAATAATGCACGACGAGGAATTTCCTGGGACGGCATTCGTAGGATATGTCCAAGCCACCGAACTCGGTGTTTCAAGATAGTGACACCAATTGGATTGTCGTCTCTGTGTCCGAACACACGATGCCGAACCTCTGCATTACTAACATGGTGTTGCCACTGGATGTTAGCAATCCTTCGGAGACAGCGATGATCAAACACAGAGAGCCGTCTAACATCCTAACTCAGAGAGGCCAGGTTTCACAAGCATAGAGCAAAACTGCTCTCACCGTCGCGTTGTAGATCCGACCTTTTGTAGCCAGACTAACATCACGAAGGCGCCAAAGATGGCCCAACGTGGCATTAGCCGCTCTGACTTTCATTATACGTGCATTGATCTCATCACCCACGCCACAACCAGCACTTATGCAGCTACCCAGATACACGAACTTCTCGACTACTTCTATCTGCTCACCATCCAGAGTGAGTACAGGATTAGAATCCTGCCAGTCTTATAGAAGTACTTTGCACTTCGAAGGCGCAAAGCACATACCATACCTACGGACACTGATTGCCAACTGATTAAGTGCGGATTGCATAGCTTGGGCATTCTCGCACAGTAAGACAATATCATCCGCATACTCAAGGTCGAGAAGTCTTTCTCCAGGCAACAGATCCACACCGCCACTACCTACATCCATGTCATCGATGGCAAAGTTGAAGAGGAATGGTGAGATTGGGTAACCCTGCCTAACACCACTGCTTGAATGGAATAATGGAGAAAGGTGGTTGTATGCCCTCACTCTACCTGAGGTGTTTGCATATAGGTCTTTTAGGATATTACTGAACTTCTCAGGCACACCCTTCTTCAATAGACAATCCCAGAGAACAGTTCTGTCCAACGAATCGAAGGCAACCCTCATGTCAAGAAATACTGCGATTGTTGGCCTTTGATTTATTTATTTATTTTATTTTTTATTTTAACACATAAATATCGGTACAAGAAGGCACCAAATACATATGCACCACACAGATCTCATTTGATATGTGTGAGGGCTGTGATACTGCCCGGGTGCCCAAACCGAAGCAGGTGGTTTTCTTAGGGGGCCACACCCCGAGCCTTCGACCTGAAGATCTGATCCACAAGGCAGTGGAGCATCGTGAGGAGATGCAGTCCCATGGTAGCCGGTGACCAACGATTGGTTCATACGCCATTTGTTCTCGCAGGATACTGGAGCCCATGTGCACCATTGGTTTGGGATCCGGTTATAGCGCCAGACATTCGCTTTTCGTCCCCTCATTTTTGTAAACAACACCCCCGCCACGAGAAGGCAGTGAGTAGGACTTCCCTGGCAGGGGCTGTATACGCGTGGCCATATGAGAGCATTTCGAGAGGGGGAGCGGACTCCCCCCACTCTCGGCCGTACCAGGGCATTTGGGGGCTGGCCTTTGATAAGTATGGCGGTGTTCTAACATTTGGCGGAGGGTGAATATATGATCAATACATCCTCGACTAGAACGCGAAACGCAGCCTGCTCCTCGCGGGTCAATCTTTTTCGGGTTTTGAACAACCTACGAAGTATAACGGAAGCCAGTAGCTTGGACGCGATCGGAAGTATACTTGTCCTCCGATAGTTGTTACAGGAACGACGTGAACCCTTTTTAAAGATAGGGACAACTATCGACTCATTCCATGACGTTGGTACACTCTCTAGTTCCCAGACCTTTTCAAACAACGTCGTCAGTCCATTAGTCAGAAAGTCACTACCATCTTTAAAAAGAGCCGGAGGTAAGTCGTCTGGGCCCGGTGATTTGTAACGTTTCAAGAGTTGGAGTTCCTTGCGGATTCCGCCTCATTTGGTGGATCAGTCGTCACCGACCATGGAGGGCAGGACAGTCTGACCGATTTGCTGGAGCAGCAGGCCAGTTGAACTGAACTGCCATTCGAAGAATTCTGTCCATCGTCCAAGACGTCGATGGATGTTAGTGATTGGCATCCTGTCATCCTCGCAGATTGTTTCGCTCACACAAAACTTCTTGCTGCCAGTGTCTCGGATGAGTTGAATGAGCTTCCGGTAATTACCAGATTTAGCTGCTGCTTTCAGCTCAGTTGCACGCTCCGACCACCAGGCTTCTCGGTCCTTACGCAAGCTTTACCCAATTTCATTACGTAACAGTCGTCGTTTGTAGTCAAACTCCCGGTCACTCGGAGTAGACCGATGGGCTTCGATGAGTTGTAAGGAACCAGAAGAAACTCAGTGCTTGTAAGCGGGATGTTTCGCGAACCCACAACAGAGACTCACAAACAAAGGAATGTATATCCCAACTATCCTTAGTATATGGTAACACACCATCTCGGTTGGAACATCTTTTCCTATCACTTATTAAGTATGTGTAACCTAATGGTTTTGATGTTATTTTATAGTTTCGGTCAAAGCTAAAATGGATGGTTTTAGCTCACCCATTAATATCACTAGGTCACGAACTCGCAGTCAGTCGAAACGTAGAGCCTCGTACATATATAAATCAGTTCAAGTTGCCTTATCCCATGATCACAGATGGGTGAGATTGTCAGCCCGAATCCCAGGATAATAGCGCTAGTAACAGTATGAGTGGTAATAGAAAAGATTAGGCATCTAAGATATGATTCAAGAAAATATAAATCAGTGAGATAAAAGCAAGAAGTTTATGAGCTATTCAAAAGCTCAAGATCTGGGGGAAAACAAAGAATGGATTCACCTGGGTTCTTGAAAACGATTTTGAACCGTTTCATACAAGGTCTCTAACTACTGGTTTGTTTTTATTAAATTTCTGTCCTCGGCAATACCTAACACCAACTCACTGAACATAATCACTTACAATATGTACTCTTTAATGCGCATTTAGTAGAATATACTGGACATCAATGTTCACTAACCAAATGTCTTGGATATGGCCTTTGACCGGATCTCAGTTTTTTGACTCCTCTAGATTTCATTATATTCGGGCTAAAATATTAAACATTTTTGAAGTTCGTATTTACACTATTCGGGTTTATCTTTATCGATTCGTTAAAATCAGTTAATAGAACCTTATCTTTTACACGTTTTTCTCGCCTTGCTCTTTTTGTTTCATTCATTTCAATATGGTTTCCCGTTTGTCTCATGTAAGGTACCCTAATTATGCCCATCTTTCTAATTCATCCTTTCATTCTTTTGTACAACATAAATATGCTTGCTGAGTGGTATCTACTAGGGGGTTTTCTTCAACCTTCTATTTATGTCTAACTTTAGTGAACACGGATATTTTCTCCTCTCCTAGTCAAACATTATAACAAGTGTGACTATTAGGGTTCTAATGAAAGTTGGACTAGTAGCATATATTGATTTGTGTATGGAAAAAACTTGCGTAACCAAATTTCTTCTGGTTGTTGACATCCTTCGCGCTCTTTTTCACAACTCCGTTTTTAGATTGTGGGTCACCCTTAACTACAGCAGTGTTAGTTTATACTCGTTGATTGTCATACAACTTGTGCTGATAACCAACGCTTATTCATTAATCAATTCATGGCACTGTCATATAAATGAAAAATATAGTTAAATTTTAGTAATTCAGATTATGTCGTCGAATATAGGCTGATGTGAACACTTGACTGTTGACCCTGTCAATTCTAGACGGGTTATGGTTTATCTGATCACTTATACACACAACCAGCAATAGATCACATGTTTAAACTGTGTTGCCTGTTAAATGGTCAGTTTTCATCCAGTTTCTTTGTTACGACTAAAACATACTAAGCTTGGGTAAATTTCACTTTCATTTACTGTAGTAAGGTCAACATAATTATTTTTTATATGAAGATTCATTGTCTTTGTGTATTTGCTCTAGTTTGTTGTTTTCCAGATTAGCTAATCAAATGGATGACCTAAAAGCATTGCTCGATGCAGAGCAGGAGAAAGTGACCAAGTTGAAGGCTCTTGTGGTGAAAGAGAGAAAAGTTAACACAAAAATCAAATCAGAATTGGAATATCTGAAGTCACTGCATACCAGGACTCATCAAGAAAGTGGTGGAACTGTTGAAAAATTTGATAAATCGTGTTGTACTTCTGAATTTTCAAATGAATCCACTTGTATGGATGAGGCACTAACATCAGAATTTATCAGTACATCGGTAGAAAACGCTGTAGATAATGAACATAAAGGGAATTTCCTTGTGTCAACCAACGATATTGGTGATAAGACGACTGAATATGTAACTAAGATTCCTGTTTGCACAATTTCAGCCTCTTCTTCTTGTGAGACGTCCGCTAAGGATTCATTACAGAGTTCTTACAAACATCTACAAGTATCTTGTTTAAATGAAACAACTATAGTTCCTGCTAACTGTCTATGTGCTGAAACACAAGTAGACAGCTTAAATAATTTTGATGGAAAGGATTCACCATTGTTACAACAGTTTAACACTGTATTACAGTCATTAAAACTCAACAATAGCAATAATATATCAAAAGATGAATTAAAATTAGTATTTATTGAATGTAACAGATTATTGGAAGAGATCGATCCCTGTTCAACTGATAATTATCGTGTATCTTTTAATCATTCCTCATCAAAAAGTGAAATAATAAAGCTAGAGAATTCTTGTCAAACTCTACCAACAGATTTAAATCAATATTTTCACTCATTAAAAAAGTCTTCTGCTAAACAAAAAAAAGAACAAAATTCTTGCCATAACAAACTTTTAAATGAATTAAAACATATTCATTTAGATGAAGTGTGTGATGAAGAATTACATATTTTAGAGGAAAGAGTAAATGAGTTAAAACATAGTGTTGAATATGCTGAGTCTTCATTTAATCAATTATCAAATAAACTTACTTCAGTTACTCATATAAATGAAGTGTATAATGCTAAATTATTACAATTACAAGCAAAATATAATGATAATTCATTGGATATGACACAATCATTTGTTAAGTTGGAAAGTTCATTATATGATTCTTTTTTATTACCGCTGATTAAGTACCATCAAGAAATAAACAACAATAAACAATGTAATTTGAATGTGGATTATTTTATTTGTGATAACTTTCAAGATGATACTGTTAGTAGAGTTGCGAAGAGTTTAGGCGATTTCCTTGATGAATTAAAACAAATTATAAAACACTATTACACATTCACTAATAAGTGTATTACATCGTCCGATGCATGCATTCTGACTGACTATAATGAAATAAATATTGAACAAGAGAAACTGCTGTTGGATAAATTGAAAAGTACTGAATCTGAATTAATTAGTGCGAATGAAAGGGTTCTAATCTCTGAGAATTTAATTTCAGATCTAAAAAGTCAACTAAAAATTTCTGATGAAAAACTACATCGTATGAAAAATCTTTTAGTTAAAGTTAAATTAGATGCAACTGAACAACAGAAGAAACTTTCAGAATTCCAAAAAAGTCAATCTGTAAATGTTGAAAATAATAAAGCATTGAATCATCTGACTGAAAAATTATCTAATACTGAAAAGGAGAAAGAAAATTTGGTGTGTAATCTGACGCAATTGCGTAGTGAATTAACTCAACAACGTGTCTTATGCGAAAATCTCCAAAATGATAAATGTTTAGCACTGGATCGACTTCAAAAGTTACAAAACGAATATAATGCATACAAAGTCAAGGTAAATAATAATCCTAATAATTGAAAAAAACTCTTTCTAACTCGAGTATTTGGTATGTAAATGTGATTTAGTGATTGATAAGTTGAATATGATAATTTTGCTTAAAAGAAGGAGAAATGTCAATCTTTCGTACATGACTGTATCACAAGTGATTTCTCTCACTTATCTACCACTCTGATAATTTATTTTTCCTTAGAACTTACCGGACTAGACTGATTAGCATTCGATCTGCACTAATAATAAGGACTAGACACGCATGACATTGGTCACCCAGTGATCAATCAATTGTGATTAGCTCCTTGATGGTGTCCTTACGTTTCAAAGTTTTTGAGTGAATGTACTTGCATCTTATTTCATAATAAAACAAACCTCATACTAATAACGAAAGGACTAGAACTCATATGATATTTACTCTTGTTCAACATGACTGGGACAACGAATTATGATTCACTAGTGGGAAGAAATCAAATAAATGGTTTTCGTATGTTTTAGTCGGTCAGCTAAAACATAGGACCAGGCATATATATTCATCGGTCCAAGTTACCACACCTCATAGCACGAGATAAACACCAAATTCATAAAAGTAGTCACTTCAAAAGTAGTAATATATAAAAGAAAGATTGTGTTCGGTGATTATTATTCTCTGTTTGTTGTGAACTCTCTTATTACGACCCAGCCACTCTTATCGCTTAATATTCCTCGGACACTATTTCACTCAAAATCAGAACACGGCTGAAGAGAAATATAATTGTATTCCAATCAAATAAGGTTGAATATGAGTAAGAATCACAGTAACGAAAAGTTAATAAATTTATAATTTTACACGGGAAGATTCTAGACTTTTCACTTATCTGCTAGCGTACTCCGATACAATATATATATATATATATATATATATATATATATATATATATATATATATACTCAAGGGTTAATTTATTTAATCGATCGCTTTATGTGAAAGATTTTTTTCACTTCAAGCTTTTGTTTTTAATCTAAGGCTCAACTTGCTCTATGTAACGTACGCACCAATGATGTGAACACAACGAATGCTAATAATAGTCCTAATTGTGAAGGGGTGAATACTAACCAATCTGATATCGAAAGCAGATCATTTTATTATTCAAATGAATTAGAATCTATGAAACAAAATCTTTTTGACGTACAAAATCGTATGAAAGAGGCTGAATTGCATGCGTCCTTAGCACAATCAGAATGTGATTTGTTAAAGAAAGAATTAATCGAAGTTAAAACAAAGTAAGTACATTTTTATTATTTCCAATTACGTACTAAACAAGTAAACACTAATTAATCGATGGTATTCGATCTGCATTAAGAACTAAGTAAACATCATATTCGTTTGGACTCAGTAATCAGTCGGTGTAAATATCGCAATTCTATATTAGGCCAATTGCGACCCAAATATCTGTCTCAGTAACGTCTGTCACAGTGAAACTAAGTAATGCGGGTTCAAATCGTAGAATGGGTATCAGTTCACTAAAGGTTATAGACACATCTTGCTGATAACTGCGAACTAAAATCTAAGGTATAGGGCTTCGTGCCGACTATCTCTAACCACTTAACACCCAGGTATCAGTAGTCAGTCAGTCATTATTAATGTATAGCCTAATGCAAATGTATATTGAGTTAATTAAATCCGTCCAATGAGACCAAATTAACAAGATGAATAACAAAGGAGTTGAAATAGTTATATTATTAATGATATTGAGAAGGATTAAATATTGAGAATGTGATCCAAAAAGAAGGTATGTATGGAACTCAAGATCTATGGGAAAATGAAAAGGGGATTCATCTGTCTCATATCTGACAATAGCACTTATGATATCAAGTCAATTAAACCAGTAATCATATTGCAATTGATTGAGTGAGTTCAATCAGCACCAAGGATTAAAAACATGACACCGGTCATTACTCAGTGATCGATCAGTATAAATGACATAACTCGACCTCTTGACCTTTTATCGTTTTATTTTCCAACACTATTTGCTTTTAAATATTTGTAAATTACTAGGTTTTCTTGGTCATATCACAAACCAACTTAAGTTATAAATCCATCAAAAATTAGGAAGCACTGGACAGCTGTTTGTCTCTACTTTTATAACATTGATCGATTCATGATCTCAGTCAAAAGCTAATAATCTCTACAACCCTATACTGATTTTATAATTTATTTTATATCAAGTAAGATAATCACTCATCCAAAATCAGATATTTCCAGAAGTTCATTTTAAGAATATCTGAAAGTAAGTACTTCCATAGAGCTGTAGGTATATATCAATGTACATAGGAAATTCAGTGAATACATTTATCAGTAATCCGTTTGTCAGGTTTATCACCAAGATAGATTGAGAAATGACGAAGTACGAATTAGAAACTGAGTAAACATATTCATAAGTTTATGGATCAAAACCGTACTACAGTCGAGTTACGTAAGAACAATATAACAACTATGTATTTTTTTTACAGACACACTGAACTGTTATGCCAATCTCAAAAACAAAAGCAATCCTTAGAGGATCAACTAATGTCAATAACTCAACAATGTGAAAATCGTCTTTCTACTGAACTTAAAGAATTAGAACAAAAGTATACTAGTCAACTACGTCATTATGAAGAACGACTTATGTTGCAAACTCAAAAATATGAAAGTGAATTACGGTGAGAAATTTTTTACTATATTTATCTAATGTAAATTTATTAAGCTTCCTTTCATTTTGTAGATATTACATTATGAGTTCTCACTTTAAGGATCCTTGTTCATTTTGACTTACTTTAGTCTCCTACGTTTAGTTGCTCCCCTTATCCCATATTGAATTTTGAATAATAGGGTACAAGCTATATCCCTACTGCCGTGTTCATCAATGATGCTGCCCAGATATGTAAAGGTTTTTACATCTTCCATAGCATCTCCGTCAAGTGTGATTCGATTGGTGCATGCTGTGTTGTATCGGAGAATCTTGATTTTCCCTTTGTGTATGTTGAGACCTGCTGCTGCTACACTGCTTGTCTTCTCCTAGATCGTCCAGCTGCATCCTAGCTATCCTATGCTTCCCCCAGATGTTGACGTATTCATGATCCCGTCGATCACCAGGAGAAAGAGAAAGGGTGATGGGAAGCAACCTTGCCTGACACCGGTCTTTACTTCGAACGAGTCTGTCAGCTGTCCTCCATGCACGATTTTGCAGTTTGATCCATTATAAGAATTCCGTATAATATTGACTATCTTCCAGGCACGCCGTAGTGTTGAAGAAGCCTAGCACAGATGCATAATATATGCAATTGGCTTGAAGCCAAATATATAGAAAGAGGAAAATCGTCTGACCATTCCACCATAAATTAAACAGCTTCATTGTTTTTTTTTATTCTAGTCAAGAAAGAGAATTATGGGAGACAAAATTAGCCAGTATCATTCACACAAACCATTCGCCCACTCAAAACTCGTACAGGTACGAGCAGGCCTATGGTCATCGACGGAATTTCTCAATACCTGATAATTTGAATCCCTTAAGCGTAAGTGTTCTGATCCTCCAGTACTATTTAGTAACAAACATTATAACTTGACATTAAATATGGTAAATAATTTTTCACTAGTAATCTTAGTTCATAGTACACCTCTGTCAAGAATATACATCATTGTTGGTGTATTTTCTGTTTCGACAACTTATAATGTTACTGTTTGATGTTGATTTCATACATACTTCTTTGATCCATCGTTTATTCTTGCTATTTATATCAGTTATCTTTTTCGTGCTAGTTTGTGGCAGCTCATTGATATATAGCTTTGTCTGTCTTTGTTACTGAGCGTTAGAAAGCAGTTCATTGTTATTTTAAGTATTCATAATTTTTATACTACTTATACTAATGTGGTGTGTGCTACTGATGTATCATCAATCGAAAGTGAAATGGCTGGCGACAGAAGGTTACGAAGATCGAAGAAAAGAGAATGATTGGTCTGTAAATGAAAGAACAATTAATTCTAAGACGGTTGATTGACATTTTGCAATTGAAGTATTTACTGTATAGCTCTCAGATTTTACTAAGACGTCCTTTAATTCTGTGTCCAAATGCTTTCGATTATCTCAAATTGTGCTCTCGTTCATTGCATAAAGAGAACATAAGCATATCAACACAATGTGCAAAACAGAAGTAAATCAATGGTATATCTTACAATATCCATTTTTCATGAGTTTTGGAATATAGGGAAATATGTTGTTTCACTGGTTGAAATCATGAATCCATTAAAGCTAGACCACCATGGAAAACCTGGAAGCACTGGACGGCCGTTTCGTCCTAGTATGGGACTCCTCAGCAGTGCGCATCCACGATCCCGCTCCAGGTCTGTTGTGAGATATCAGCTCACTGAAGACAATGGTGTACGGTGGCGCAACTTCGTGGATTGGTTGAAGTTAGACATTAACACCGTTGGATGCCGGCTCAGTGGTCTAGTTGGTTAAGCGCCTGGCGCGAGACTGATAGGTCCTGGGTTCGAATCTCGCGAGGAGCGGGATCGTGGATGCGCACTGCTGAGGAGTCCCATACTAGGACGAAACGGCCGTCCAGTGCTTCCAGGTTTTCCATGGTGGTCTAGCTTCAATGGATTCATGATTTCAACCAGTGAAATTCCTAAAATCTCCACACAATCCTTTCTGATAAAAATATGTTGTTAGGTAGAATACTAATCAGGGGTATTGTGTCTATGACTTAACTTCGTCAACAGCCATCTTTAAAAGAACTAAAGCAGATTCATAATTACAATGTTTACATAGTGTATTCTACTAGTGCTTCGTTATTTTAAAGCCTCATATCTTTAAAAAAAAGTAAGATATATTTGGCAACTTCTATATATACTAACGACACTATCTGATTGTTACATTCATTCCGAAAAGCCATCATCTATGTTACAGTACGAATATAAAAAACAACTTGCGAAATCAACCTTTAGATAGTCTCAAGTAAGCCACATCTTTGAACAACGGCGAATAGATTAGATAATTTGGACGAAGATCTCCACACCAATAAATATGGTTTGCATAGGAGATAAATAAACGCATTTGTTCTCTGAATCTAAATTAAAATAATATTATGAGTGCGCTTATCTTTGTCTTTGACATTCGTTTCTGAATATCTACTCGTTTGAGAAACTTTACTCACTCTAATTCCGCTGTCGTTGTCAAAACTTCTATGTTTAACACAATAAACTGTTTGAAAAGAGCGGGAAACTGGTCAGTTTTGTGGCATTATCGTATCTATTTATTACTGTATTGTTTCGAAGCAGTGGCTTTTAATCAGAACACTGGACTTTAAACTAGTTACTTGTACGTTGAGACATCGTTCCATGTACTTCAGTTTAAGGCGGTCGGTAATATCACTAAACTAGATTGTTGCGTCGTGCGCTGCTAGGATCACTCCACTGCCAACACTAGTAGATAATCATCCATCGTCAACTTTGCCGGTCTAGAGTCTTGCAACGCCTCCTTCCGGTCCGCTGAACTGTCAACGTCTGTAACCAACCGCTCCGTAACAGCCCCTCATTCCATTTCCCCATCGGCATTCTCTATGCTGGCATACACTGCCATTGCCCTGCCTCCCGACATTGTCTCCAGCACCACCGTATTCACCTTGGGCTCCCCAACCCCGCGACATCCGCACACTTCAGGGAAGTCTGTACATCCCCTTCCTTAGACTGCCATGGTTACGGAATCTTCATTCTATATAGAAGCAGCGACATCAATTGTAAAGGATGAAAACTTGGACAGGCGAATACTAGTTGTACCATCCGAAATTCCACACTGCAAAATATGAAACCAGTACATTAAATACACCGTTTGCATATCTTCCTTGAGTTATCCCTTAGTAATTCCATCATTGTGTCGTTCATGTTGTTACTCCGATCGCTCTCTGTTTTTCTTTTCTTATTTTCCTTTTATGTCAGTAAAAAGTCCACTTCCAAACCTTGCTACATACTACTTATATCTAACCATATAAGTAGTATACATCACAGTACTATCAAAAATGGATGGGGGAAAACTAGAGGAATAGTGTAATGATCATGAAAACGAGCACCTACAAGTTGAATATTAATCGGATTGTAGAGTACATATACTAATGAGAGTATAGAAGCAACTCATATATTACTATAATTCACAGTAAAGTATTATTGTTCTGCAACGATTAGGGCTAAAATTAAGCAACTGTTATAGATCTGTCTGATTCAATGCATAATATCAATCCTTTATAGTTAGACCACTGTTTTAAGAAATTCCATAATCATGTACTGTTCCTGTAATTGTGTAAGATGGGGAACTTAGTTGCGTTCATGTCAAATAATATAAAAGAATTAGTTTTTCATGAAATTTTTTCCAGGCAAACTCGCATCATAAAAGAGTTCAAGGAGATGGAGCCGATAATTCCATGATTTCCTCCGTGGAATCTGATACAGAATCAGATCATGCAGCTAGGAATTGCTCTCTAAGTCACAGTGGCAGTGAGCATTATTCATTGGCAGATGAAGAAAACTATAAGAAGTCTGTACATCGAGTGAGTTATCCATTGTATTACATCATTGTATAACTAAGTATCAGTTACAACGTATAAAACTAGCTTGCTTCATTGCTCAAGTTTTTATGGATTGATAAGCTTCTCTCCCAATCGGACATGACCAACATAAGACGGCACCAGCTCAAAGGTATCTAAAAAAACAATCGATTATTATTTTCTTCCTCGTCAGTATGTACCATGACATTATGTACGCTCTTAAGTTGATCTAGACATACTACTCTGGCAAATTGATTGTGATTAGGAAAACTGACCCCACGATTCCATATAGGTTTGAACATTTCACAAACGATTGCATCGCATCCTGCTTCATTTACCAGTTCACATATTTGTGTGGGTACACGTACACAGGGAGGAGTTAACGAATAATACAAATAAGGGTATCTAGATAGCTTCCGAATAAATAAGTCTCAGAAGCTCCGATAAACGTAAGAATTAGAAAACTATCAAAACATATAGTTGAAACGTGTCATAAAATTGACATTAACACAGCTTTTTAAGCGTCTCATAGAAATTGCAAAGAACAGTTTCTCAGGTTTCTAGAAGCCTTGGCTATTGGGAAATTCAAACCCCGATTTATATGTACAAAAACAATTTTTCGTAACGTTGAACCTGCTCCAATAATATTTCAGACATTTTACGACCTGGGGTCGTGTGACAAACTCCTATTATTTTTTAAATATTAGGGATACAGGGAATCTCAATGCTACTCCGTATTTTTGTTTATATGAGCTCTTTCTACATGTAAAAAAAGTTAAGTTTAAACAGTTTCTAGAATTTTATAGTGTTTAATAAACATTGTTTTCCAGTAGATTATTTACGAAGTTCAGACACTTAAGTATACAACATCATTGCTTACCATAGTTTCGTTTTCTAATGTAATTAATCCGAATATTTTTCATTCGAAGTCGTAAGAATCCTAAATATATGTGTATATTGATTGTTGGTGGAGTTTACATTTGCTAGGTATTTAAATAAGGAATATTTCTCCACTCTTGCTTTTCATCTTGTTACATTGCTCTCTTACGGTGTTTATTTAAACTATACTTAAACGCTTTTGTATTTGGTCGTGCCCTGTCTGTACTGGAGCTTTTATCTAGTAATTACTGTTTATCCTAACGTTTGTTTACTTTTTATTATTTTTCCTAATAACTAGCTACTCTATACCTAATCAGTACACAAAAATTGAATTTAACGTCTTTTTCAAACTTTGTCTCACTTATCGTCTATCCTTTTTTATTCTTTCTGTCTAGGTTTTTGTAAACCAATGGACTTTAAGGTTCAGCTTCTACTTTTTAGTCAATTTATTTCCCTGCAATTGTGCGAGAAATGATATTAGAATTAGTTTTTTTGGCTAACGAACAGATATCGAAAACTATTAGTTACCAAAATAATTATATTTCTGTATATTGCATTCAGTATCATACAAATGTTTAGCTATGAACAGTACCTTAGTTTTTCTAACAGCTAAACTTTCAACCACATGTCTGCAAATACAAATACCCCCCTCATCTATTTCCAACTTGGAAATCGCGTAATATCACCTCTTGAGTTTCGATTGAACGAACACAGTGATTCACAACTCACTTGTCATACACCTAATTATTCTCTACCCTAGTTACCAGCAGTTGATATGACGAATAAACCCTCACTTTTGTCGAGTTATTCTATGTAACTTTAAGAATCTGCTTAAATCGAGTCATGAATTCAGCCATTAAGCTACTACAATCTCCACAAACCCCCATTCTGATAAGAATGCGATTTATTGGGCTAGATTTAATTTGTACACTTGGTTGAATAATTCAAGAGTAGAGTTTAAAAAAGCCAATATAATCATTGTATTATCAACTCCTAACATATCATGTGGCTAGCCTACTGTAAAACACATCGACCAATTATCTTGTTTTCAGATCACCATACCTACTTTGGAACAACTTCTTAATCATCCCAATCAATATTCACCGTCTGAAAATATGTCATCTCAGCATTCTGTTATATCATTTCAAGAAGTTCGTAATGTTCAACCTAATCAATTAGCTGGTTTACAGTCTGCTTTAACCAATCAACAACGTCGAGTTGAATATCTTTCTGAATTGTTAAGTGAAAGTGAAACAAATGTAACTCGTTTATTTGAGCAAAACAAAGTGAGCATGGTATTGAATATGACATATTATTGTTATATTTTAAAGAATTAATTAATATAACACATTTTCACAGGACAAATAGTCGGGAATGGTTCTTGGTATTTGTATGGTTGTTACACATGATTAAACTGTACTATTCAAACTGTATAAAGCTTTGATGGTTTCTGGTTCTTAAATGTGAAATTGCCCTCTCACTGAGTATATTTGTACTTGTAAAATTAATCGCTTCTCGTGCCCCCAAATGCCCTGGTATGGCCGAGAGCGGGGAGGGTTCGCCCTCCCTCTCGAAATACTCTCACACGGCCACGCGTATACAGCCTCTGCCAGGGAAGTCCTACTCACTGCCTTCTCGTGGCGGGGGTGTTGTTTACGAAAATGAGAGGACGAAAAGCGAATGTCCGGCGCTATAACCGGATCCCAATTCTATGGTGCACATGGGCTCCAGTATCCTGCGGGAACAAATGGCGTATGAACCAACTTTTGGTCACCGGCTTCCATGGGACTGCATCTCCTCACGATGCTCCACTGCCTTGTGGACTGGACCTTTAGGTCAAAGGCTCGGGGTGTGGCCCCCTAAGAAAACCACCTGCTTCGGTCTGGGCACCCGGGAAGTATCCCAGCCCACTCACTAAAACTATGATGAACAATTTGCTTATGGAAAATATTCCTTTCTATCTGATTAACATTGAAATAACTCGTACTATTATTATTATTATTGTTATTATTATTATTATTATTATTATTATTATTATTATTATTATTATTATTATTATTATTATTATTACTCTACCACGTCATTTATTCACCCTCTCTTATTCCTACTTTATATATGCGTTTCGACCTAGACAGTAGCTCACCTATGGTGAAAATTCAGCTTTATCTATACGTTCCCGAGTCACTGCCTGGTTGAAAATTGTATGTTACTACCGAACATGAGTACTGAAGCAGTTTTTCTGAAACCGCGTGCACCATTCAAACTGGCTACCTTCAACGTTCGCACACTTATGCAGGTCGGACAACAGATAGGACTGGCTATGTCTTTGGAAAGTCTTAATATTGATGTGTGTTGTCTATCCGAGACCCGTATTCAAGACTCTGGTGAAGTACTACAGGTTCGCTCTCCATCTGTCACTTCAAAAAGCTTGTTTTATGTGCGTTTATCCGGGGACCCTGTGGCATCTTCGTCTGGTCTTGCTGGCGTTGGTGTCGCACTAAGCGCAAGAGCTGAGGCAGCACTAGTCGACTGGATCCCCATTAACAGTCGGTTATGTGCTGTTAGATTAGAAAGTTCCATCAAAGTGAGAAGAAATCGGCGTGAGAAACGATGTCTTTTCGTCATCTCCGCCTCTGCCCCGACAGATTGCAGCCCGGATGCAATCAAGGACGAGTTCTACCATCAGCTAACTGTTCTTCTCCAGAAAGTGCGTTCGACAGATATTGTAGTACTAGCTGGAGTCTTGAATGCTCAGGTCGGGCGTCTAGGCACAGAAGAGAGTCGTTTAGGTGGCCGATGGGGACTCGTTGGTCACAGGACAGATAACGGGGAACGTCTACTGCAACTATGCACAGACCACAACCTGTTTCTGGCTAGCACTAACTTTCGGCACAGTCATCGCCAATGTGCTACCTGGCGACCCCCTTCTGCATCTGAAGCCCGGACTCAGATTGATCACATCGCGATCAGCTACCGCTGGCGCGGTTGTGTACAAGACTGCCGCTCCTTTTGGAGTACCTATCTGGAATCTGATCATGCTCTGGTCTGCGCCAATCTTACCTTACTTTTCAGTGGACAAAGAAGTGACCGCCACCAAAGGATTGATGTTAGCAAGCTGGCTGCAACTTCTGTTGCTAGTATGTACCGAACCGAGCTAGCTTCTAGGCTAGCTACCACTCCACCGAAAAGTATAGATGAGCATTGGTTGCAATTGCATGACGCCATGAAAATGGCGGGTACAGTCTGTGTGGGTTCGCGAAACGTCCCGCTTACAAGCACTGGGTTTCTTCTGGTTCCTTACAACTGATTGAAGCCCGTCGGTCTACTCCGGGTGACCGTGAGTTTGACCACAGACGAAGGATGTTACGTAATGAAATCGGGCAAAGCTTGCGTAAGGACCGAGAAGCCTGGTGGTCGGAGCGTGCAACTGAGCTGAAAGCAGCAGCTAAATCTGGTAATTACCGGAAGCTCATTCAACTCATCCGAGACACTGGCAGCAAGAAGTTTTGTGTGAGCGAAACAATCTGCGAGGATGACAGGATGCCAATCACTAACATCCATCGACGTCTTGGACGATGGACAGGATTTTTCGAAGGGCAGTTCAGTTCAACTGGCCTGCTACTCCAGCAAATCGGTCAGACTGTCCTGCCCTCCATGGTCGGTGACGACTGATCCACCAAATGAGGCGGAATCCGCAAGGAACTCCAACTCTTGAAACGTTACAAATCACCGGGCCCAGACGACTTACCTCCGGCTCTTTTTAAAGATGGTAGTGACTTTCTGACTAATGGACTGACGACGTTGTTTGAAAAGGTCTGGGAACTAGAGAGTGTACCAACGTCATGGAATGAGTCGATAGTTGTCCCTATCTTTAAAAAGGGTTCACGTCGTTCCTGTAACAACTATCGGGGGATAAGTCTACTTCCGATTGTATCCAAGCTATTGGCTTCCGTCATACTTCGTAGGTTGTTCAGAACCCGAGAAGGATTGATTCGCGAGGAGCAGGCTGGGTTTCGTTCCGGTCGAGGATGTATTGATCATATATTCACCCTCCACCAAGTGTTAGAACACCGCCATACTTATCAAAGACCAACAATCGTAGTATTTCTTGACATGAGGGTTGCCTTCGATTCGTTGGACAGAACTGTTCTCTGGGATTGTCTATTGAAGAAGGGTGTGCCTGAGAAGTTTATTAACATCCTAAAAGCCCTATACACAAACACCTCAGGCAGAGTGAGGGCATACAACCACCTTTCTCCGTTATTCCATTCAAGCAGTGGTGTTAGGCAGGGTTGCCCAATCTCACCATTCCTCTTCAACTTTGCCATCGATGACATTCTGGAAACAGCTCTGATGGATGTAAGTAATGGTGGTGTGGATCTGTTGCCTGGAGAAAGACTTCTCGACCTTGAGTATGCGGATGATATTGTCTTACTGTGCGAGAATGCCCAAGCTATGCAATCCGCACTTAATCAGTTGGCAATCAATGTCCGTAGGTATGGTATGTGCTTTGCACCTTCGAAGTGCAAAGTACTTCTACAAGACTGGCAGGATTCTAATCCTGTACTCACTCTGGATGGTGAGCAGATTGAAGTAGTCGAGAAGTTCGTGTATCTAGGTAGCTGCATAAGTGCTGGTGGTGGTGTGAGTGATGAGATCAATGCACGTATAGTGAAAGCCAGAGCGGCTAATGCCAATCTGGGCCATCTTTGGCGCCTTCGTGATGTTAGTCTGGCTGTAAAAGGTCGGATCTACAACGCGACGGTGAGAGCAGTTTTGCTCTATGCTTGTGAAACCTGGCCTCTCCGAGCTGAGGATGTTAGTCGACTCTCTGTGTTCGATCATCGCTGTCTCCGAAGGATTGCTGACATCCAGTGGCAACACCATGTCAGTAATGCAGAGGTTCGGCATCGAGTGTTCGGTCACAGAGACGATAATGAAATTGGTGTCACCATCTTGAAACACCGACTTCGGTGGCTTGGACATGTTCTACGAATGTCGTTACAGAGAATTCCACGTCGTGCATTATTTGCCGACTCTGGGACTGGTTGGAAAAAGCGGAGAGGTGGTCAGTATATGACATGGTGTCGTGGTATGAAAGAAAGCTGCAAAGGGCTAGCTTCTGTTGGTCCTTCACGACTCCCTGGTTGGGGTCCGAGAGACGGTGTAACGCAGTGGCTAGAGACGTTATCAGATATGGCTCAGAATAGAAGCCAGTGGCGATCCTGCTGTAACCTTCCTTTACTTTCTTGATAAAAAGTGGTTGTATCTTCCTTAACTGAAAGATTTCTTCTGATTGTACCTTTCCGTTTCCCTCACCATTGTTCTCTCTCTCTCCCTTTTTTTTTATAATTCCCCACGTCCATTACTTTTTTTTTCTTTTTTTTCTCTTTTCTCCTTCTCTTCAAATTATCATTGTTTTGTGTGGCGCATATATATTTGGTGCCCCTCTGTACCAATATTTATGTGTTCAAATAAATAAATTAATAAATAAATAATGTAAAATTAATATACGATAGGTTTATTTATATTCGATACACAGAAGTACTTTGTGTCATAAAAATGATACCCAACAATGTAAGTATTTCCATTAAAAAATGCAATAATAATCCCCACAGCAAAATGTAAAATTTGATAAGTTTGAAAAACTGATTGTAGGCTTCGAATTATATCACTACGTGTGCTGTGACTGACGCAACTGCAGACTAAGTAACTTTACAGTTCTTTTCATATTGGCACTCTATCTTAGCATAAATTACAGCTTTTTATTACTAAAATAGTTAACTCTGAGAAATATTAAATTTTTTAATTGACTTGTGATCATAAGTACAACTGTTCCGTCTATTATTTAAGATTTAAACTGTTTCAGTATTTCATATTTGGCAACTGCATTCATTCACTTTATGGATATAATTCAACCAGTTTAAATTGATTACTAACGTCAAGCTTGTATTATAGTCAAATCACTGACAGGTGGCTAACTATTTCACAGTTTTTTACTTAAAAATATTCCGTACATTTCATTCAAATAAAAAATTTACTAGTTTTCATTTAGAATGTAAATGTAAGGTTTAACAACCGATTTTTATGAAGCATCTTGCAACATCTGTAAAAAAACCCGTTTTCCATGGATCTGCCAAAAGTAACATATTTCACAGCACTCGCAATAACTTTGTTGTCCTTCGATTGAACAAATGTTTTCACTGAAACCTAAAGGATCAGAATTTTTCAATCTGGCTGTTACTATACAAACGTTTATAACAATCCCGAGATATATACGAGCCGT